TACCTGTGATGTGTGAGAGGTTCAGTCTATCACCTATCAGATACCTGTGGGGCGTGAGAGGTTCAGTCTATCACCTGTCAGGTACCTGGGGTGTGTGAGAGGTTTAGTCTATCACCTTAGTTTATCACCTGGGTTTAAAGCAAGTGGAACAAAGATGGCCTGATTGCACTAGCCACAGCTGTTTACACCTTTGGAGCAAGCTGAGGACTGTGTGAGGGCACTCCAGAATCTGGGTGCTCAGCCGACTAATATGCCTTACACAAGGCCTGCCTCCAACCTCATTTCGTCCTAGGCTCTGCTTCTGTTTCTGAGAAGGTGACCTATGACAGCTGACAGGTAAACATGGGACAAACAGCTAGCTCTCAGGAAGAATGGAGTTGAAAGACCCTTAAAGAAATGAACAACACAGGGCTTTGGAGTCCCTACTCCCATTGCAATAAAAGAATCACACACATAACTTGTGACTTCCCACAAACTGAACTAATAGCCTGCTGTTGACCAGAAGTCTTCCAGGGGACAGAAACAGTCAGCTGACACATATTTTGTAGACAATACCCATGTGTATTAGACACTGCACCTACATAAAAGCTGCATTTTCATTTCATGAATTTTCTTTTTTTTTTTGGACAATGATCCTTCCTTGGGATTCATTTATCTTGAAATGGCAGGCTACTGCAGCTACAAACCTCAATTCTATTGTGCACCTGAAGCGACTGAGCTTTTCTTTCACATCATGACTTCCCTCTGCTTCTCGGGAGCCTTCCAGCATCACCAGGGGCACTCCGTATGGGTCCCACAAATCTGTCTTGCAAGTAACAGCAGAGTGCTCTTTAGAAGTAGATGTCACTTCACGTATTTTGGAAGTGTCCTTGGAGAAGTATATCACACTTGGTAAAGTAGAGGCTCAGAGAAAAAGGGGAAACCCCTCAATGGGGGGGGGGGTTTGACCCAGTGGCAACAACAATGTGCTCCAACACAACAGAAATCATGAGGGTGGTGCAGGACCGAGCTGCGTTACATGTTATTGTTCTGTGGGGTCGTTATGACTCAGAACTGACCTGATGGCATGTCACAACGAGTTTTGCTCAAGTCTCAGGTCAGTGGAAATGGGTAATGGTAATGTTGGTTCTTCTGGCAGTCCATGGTACCTTCAATATTCTCCTCCACCATCATAACTCAAATGCATCAATTCTTCTACGGTCTTCCTTATTCACTACCCAACTTTTGTGTGCATATGAGGTTATTGAAAGTACAACGCCTTGGGGCAGGCGAACCTTAATCCTCAAACTGACAGCTTTGTTCTTGACTACTTTAAAGAGGTCTTGTGCAGCAGATTTGCCTACAGCGATATGGCATTTAATTTCCTGACTGCTTCTTCCATGAATGTTGATGGTAGTAGATCCAAGTAAAGTGAAGTCTTTGACAACTTCAATCTTTCTCCATTGATCATGAGTTTGTTTATTGGTCCAGTGGTGAGGATTTTTGTTTTCTTTACATTAGGGTGCAATCAATACTTAAGGCTGTGCTGTTTGAGTCAGTGGAACTAGCAAATTTATAGAGACAAGTTGCTCTCATGGATTCTAGGGCAGGAGGTGAAACTGGACTCTTCAGAGACTAGATGCGAGAACTTTAAACTCTTCAGTCTCAGGATGGGCTCGTTTATACACCACCAGAGTCTTTCTCCATGAGACCTACATCTTGGTATTCTGTTCCAGCCTTCCTCAACCTCCCCGAATACTCCTTCAAGGCAAAGCTAGGAAGGCCATAAGTCATTACTGACTCGTTTTTATTACTCTGTTTGCGAGCAGTTTGCATCATTAAGGAACCCTTAGCATTAGGCATGGAGATCTCAAAACTGTGTTTGGGAGGAGTGCCCACGCAGCCTGTCTCTAACAGTGACCTCTGCCCACAGCTTCAACCCCAATTACATTCTTGGCTGCTTGCATGTTTGCAAGAATATGTCCATCACCATCTCTCCATTGTCTTCTCTGTCTTCACATTTCTTACTCACCCAGACCTAGCCTGCTAAATTCTGTAGTCAGTGCATGCTGTGTGCCAGGCATTGCAGAAGTCAGGACAAGCAGGGGTAGACTGAGGTAAGGGATAACCTGCAATCTCCAGCAACTTCAACACAAGACGGGCTGGTTTTCCTGTGTGGGAAGGTCTGTGTGTCAGAGCCAGGGGGAAAAGCTAGCTAAAGTAAATTCTTCTGATCAGCTGTTGTTGTGAACTGGCATCAAGTTGGGCACCAACTCATAGCAACCTGGTCTAGGATTTTTGAGGTTAGCAGTCCAGTGCTTATCCTCCAGCAGCACACCAGGACTTCTGGCTGGCTAGTTTTGGTAAATTGTTAAGGATTGACCCAGCAAGTTCCTTGATGAAGTATCTTTCTGCACTTAGTTAATCGACAGTGGATCCTGGAACAGCTCAGTCTTGAACTGGGTGGGTCGACTTACATGTAGGTATCTTTTGAAACACCATGTGGCCCTCCGGTCAACTGCATATTGCAGTCAAAACGACCTCTCGCGGTTCTCATGCATTCTTCATGGCGTTAGTGCAACACCGTAAACATCAGGGAGATAGCTACACACTCCTCAGCACAACCAACCACATGAACTCACAAGGCAGCATCTGCCCAGGGAGGAAGCTCAGAAGGCAGGAAGGGACAGGGGAGAAGGAGGAAAGGAAACAGGAAACACAGGGAGGAAGTGGGAAGAGTGCTGTTACGTGGTGGGGACTGCGATCAATACATGACACAAAATGTGTACTGATTGTTGAATGAAACAGCTGATCTGCTCTGTAAACCTTCACTCAAATCACCATAAAAAAAATCTAAAACCAGAGTAAGATAGGGAGAGGGAATGTGGAGCAGAATTTCAAATTCTCACGGACCCCAGACTTTCTGAGCTACAGACGGGTGAACCCCAACATACTGTCTTGAGACCATCTCTAAACTTTAAACCAAAAATAACCCTTGAAGCTTTCTGAAAACCAAACAATCGTTGTTAAGTGCTGTTGAATTGACTCCAACTCATAGTAGCCTTGTATTGGGTTTCTGAGGGGCAGCTTGTGGGCTTGAATTACCAATCTTGCAGTTAGCAGTCCAGTGCTTATCCGACAACACCATACCATGATCCCAAGCAATAGTTTAGTGTTTTTTTTTTAATTAAATGTTTTTATTTTGGATTGAGTGAAAGTTTACAGGGCACATCATCAGCTTCACATTCAACCATTCATATAGCTTGTTTCATTACATTGATTATTATCCCCTCCATATATCATCAGTTAACAGTGTTTCTCTCTATCCTCTTTAGCTTTTTTTTTTGAATGGGGGGGGACTTGCCTTTTTGGAATTTACAGTCTCGGCTTTTAGGGAAGGTTTTTACATTTGTCTGTGGATATCCAGGGCTCATGTATGAGATTACTAACAAGCATTACTGAATAATCAGATGAGGGACAGTTTGCTATGTCTACTAGGTAGCTAAAGTCTGATCCTCAGAGCCTATGGTTTGGACGGTCAACAACGCTTGGGCCCACAGGGGCTTGGCCTCCTGACTGGGTCTGCACGGTCTGCATCCAAATCCTCCTTATTTATTGTTTGTCTTAGGCGGTCAGTGCGAATTCCTCAGTCTTACCAGTCACTGAAAATAGTTTAGTTTTAACTAGTGAAGAAAGTCTGCTGTAAGCACTGTGTTCTTTGAAGACCCACCTTATGGGATCAAATTGAAGCAGCAACTTGGAAGATGAGATTAGATCCTTCCGGGGCAGTGGGTTTGAGTTAATGAGGGAGGACCAATTCAGAGGACGAGGGCAAGAGTACACAGGAGAATGTCATCAACTCACCGAATTGTGCAGAAACCGTTGGATTGGTCTGTGCTTTGTTGTGAATGTTTTCAACAATGACAACAAAATAAATGATAAAAAAAATTAATTCAACATAAAATTTTCAGAGTGGACAGCAGGCACACAGGAGGGAAGAGTGACTCTCCCTGAGGTCCACTGGGGAACCACAGAATGCCCAGGGGACCACAGAACGTCACTGGGAACCACAGAACGCCCGGGGCTACCAACAAAGATGGAATCCTCATGACCAGGACCCTGGTTGGGACTTTTAGCCTCTAGGACTGACAGACAATATGTCCTATTCTGGTACACCAGGAACAAAGACACCCCCAAAGGGCAGCATGGGTTCTGATCACTTCCTGAACTGGAAAGGGAAGCAGCCACGTGCCAGGCAACCCCACTCTTCAGTCTCCTGACTCCACGCTCTTACACATCACACTCTCTCCCCAAGAGACCTCGAAACTTAGCGGTCTAGGTGAGCTGGAAAGACACGTTCATTACTTCTCACTGAAATAAGACTGAAGGTCAGGTCCTGGGATTGATGACCGATCACTT